TACTCTATCAAACCATCTTATGTATAAGGGCTTTTTATGGGGAGGACCCGTTCAATATACTTTCGAAATAGCATTTAGAAAATCAATCCATACCTCGGATTTATGAATAGGGGCTTTACTCTCTGAAGGAAGACAAATAGAATAGGAAAACGATCCACCATAATAGCGGGTAGGACCACCGAATGCATAATCTACGTTATCAACTGCGTAAGGTATAAGTACCTGTGTCTCAACGAATTTCTGTGAAGCTTCTTCCAACAAGGGGGGACTGGAGCAAACTTTTTGCCGTTTATCTCTATTAGATTTGAAGTTACCGTCGACAATGGCGGGGTGGGGAAGTTAAAAGATTTGGAAGTCACCATTACAGTTATGGAAAGAGTGAAGACGGGGAAAAAGTGTGGCGAAGAAAGAAGATGAGTTAGGTTTTTGGTAAAAATAGTACAAATTGATTGGAGTATTTAAAGAGGCCAATTAGGGTATTTGAAACGACGAATATGAGAAGAAGGTAATTAATACGTGGCGTTAGTGGATCACATTGTGATAATGGAAGGTGTTGTGATTTGATATTTGACATAAAGCAGCAAAACCCTAAAAACCCTAAACCCTAAACAGTTTTTTTTTTTTTTTTGGCTTCAGGAATATTTAAGAGCTGGATTTTTTTTGTAAGAATATAAAATTGGTACAAATATTTATATTCTTCCAAGGGGCATTTTGTTAGTGAAAAAATCGATATAAGGATCGAAAAGCGGAGGAAAGAAAATCGAGGATCATATGTTAGTTAAAAAATTGATAAATCGAAAAGATGGTTGGAAGACATTCGATGACCATGTAACAGTATGAACACATAAATTGAGAACTGGAATTGAGAATCGAAGGAAGAATATTTGATATCTATTGCTGAAAAATATCGAGAAATTAGAATTAAGTGTAAAGTTAAGGTTAAGGGAAATCAAAAGCAATTCAAAGTTCTCGGGATTTGAAATTGAGATCGAGGGAAAGGTTAACCTACATGACTATCGAAATTATGGCTAAGTTATAAATTGAGGAACGGTTAAAACGTGTATGGAACGTGGAAGCAGTTTTTCTAAACCGTAGAACTAAGGTAAAACTTCGAGGGACGTGCACGTGGAACGTGGTAGCAGTTTTTGTTAACTGCTCTTAGGAGGTTACCTGAAGGATGCTCTATAAATAGAGCGAAGATTGAAGGAAAACGGGGATTTGACAGAGAGAATAGAAACGTTAGTGAAAAGTCTAAAGGAGAACGACGCATCATGAAGTTTCTAATGCTCTGGATTTCCATTATCATTGATTGTCTTTATCGCTTTCTTTACTTTCCCTGGTAATTTACTTTCATGTAATTTACATTCATCAATTTAAGTTTTTGTACTTTCAATTACTTGTCATTTACCTTTAATGCAACGTAAGTTTCTGTATTTTCAAATTCTTGTCATTTACTGTTTCTGCAATTTCGATGTCCTGCTATTTACTTTCATGTAATTTTAATTCCTTGTCATTTACAGTTAATGTAATTTCGAAATTTTCGCATTTACAATTCTCTGTAATTTAATATTCTGCACTGCCTTTCATTTCGATACATTTTACTGTTTTCTTTACTTCGTGTTTCTTAATAAAAAATACCAAAAAGAATACTTTCGAGTGTCAATCTGAATGATATGTTGCATTGTTAACATTTCTCGATATTGTGACATTTTCGATTCTCATATACGTTTTGATTGAAAATTAGTGCTAGCCTAAGTAAAAAGAATCTACGTGGTTGAAATTTGATTAAAACCTAAGTTTTTAAGAAATCGAAATCGATCAAATTTTCACCAGAAACACATTCATATCATACTAAATTTTGGGGGTTGTTTATTTCTCATAAAATGCCACAAAATTATGAATATGTTCAAGGTAACTTGTGCATATACTTTCAAATAAAGGTTGCAAAATGAAAAAAAAAAATGATAGATAGACACTCATAAAGGTAAAAATAACGTATGAAAGTTATTGAAGTGCAAAGTAGAAAAGAATTTTTGAGTTGGATGTGTGGGTGTGCCAGTGCCAGACACTCCCCTCCCACCAAACTCGACCCAATTCTGTTAACGCCTACAGAGAGAAGGAAAGGAATTAATGAAAAAGAGGGAAAATCTGGTGTCCCAAATCTCAGCCCTTTATTCAACACTTCTCAACTTTCTATCTTCTCAGCCAACATGGTCCCACATATCACCGGGTTTAATTGTACCACGTGTACTATATTTCATGCCATGTGTATTAATTGCTTTTCGGTGGGACCAAGAGCATGTCTCTTTTGTGGTCCGCGGAGTAGCAGATCTCTCTTTTTGTTTTGCCAGATAACTGACACAATCGCTTTGACTCCCCCGTTAGATTTAATTTTTATTTTTATATGCCTCACTTTGTTTTCAGCCGCTAATGTGTTTCCCATTTATTTAATTCTATTTGTATTTTAACCAGGAGAAGCATCTCCACAAGTATCTTACAGTATTGGCTAAAATAAAAGATAATATATAAATCGTGTAAATTGTTAAATTTCATATATTCTGTGATAAATTTAAATTTAACAGCTGAATTAAATACGGTAGATATATGTTTCCAAAACAAAATCTATGACATATTTAGTAGGATACGGTCCATTGGTCCAAATCCATACAGTAGATAATTACACAAGGACAAATCACATCGTCTATAATTATTTCAAATTATTCAAGCATGTGGAGTTTTAGCAGGTTTCATATAATGTTTGTTTTAAAGTTAAGAAACAGTATCCTTTTATGAAATGCAATTATATCCCCTCAACTACTGAATGAAATGAACCAAATATAAATAAAATCCATGCAAGACAAGAGAACGACTGATACCAACACTAGTACAAAATAAGCTTTTAACATCGGTTCTCAAGGGCTTTTAATATCGGTTCTAGAACCGATGTAGATACAACCGATGTAGAAAGTGTGACTTTCCACATCGGTTGTAAGGGGGAACCGATGTAGAAAGTCTAATATTTTTATTTATTTATATATTTTTATTTATTCATAACCCCTCTCCAATTACCCTATCTATTGATAGGTAGGTCTCTTCTTCCTTTTATATTATATTTTTATTACTTATTATATTATTTAAATTTTTTAAGAATTTGAATTATTATCTTCTTCCTTCTATATTATATTTTTATTACTTATTATATTATTTAAATTTTTTAAGAATTTGAATTATTATCAGATTAAGAGAATTGTTACTGCAAGATTCGAACCCGAGTACCTTAGAGTTGAAGGTCGATACTCCAACCACTAAGCTACTAGGATTTTCTGATAATAACTTATACATAAATTATATTTATATACAAATAAAAATGTATATCCATGTAAATATATAAATATAAAATATATAAATACAAATACAAATATATTTATATATTTATATGTTGGACGTGAGGGCACGCTTCGAGGATGAAAATGTGTGTCGAGTGAATTTTCAAAATTTGATGTCAAATTTGTAGCAAGTCTCTTTATATGGATTATAACTTAATGACAAAATATAATTTTTATAATTTATTTATATAATGATATAAAATAATTTTTTTCTTTATTTTATATCATTATATAAATTAATTATAAAGATTATATTCTATATTATTATAAATAAATTATAAAGATTTTATTCTATTATTAAATTACAAACTCATATAAAGAGACTCAGCTCACAAATTTAACATCAAATTTTGAAAACCCACTTGTCATACACTTTCACTCTCGAGCGCGTCTCACATCCAACATATAAATATATAAATATATTTGTATTTGTATTTATATATTTTATATTTTTATATTTACATGGATATATATTTTTATTTGTATATAAATATAATTTATGTATAAGTTATTATTAGAAAATCTTAGTAGCTTAGTGGTTGAGTATCAGCCTTCGACTTTAAGGTATTAGGTTCGAATCTTGCCAGATGACAATTCTCTTACATTTATAAAAAGACTTTCTACATCGATTCATCAGGGAACCGATGTTAAAATTGATTTTTGTACTAATGCAAATTCATTTTTTGTGTTGACATTAATTGAATAATAAAGTTCGGGGTTAGGTCGAATCGTGGCATTAGGACAAATATTTTCTCCTACAAAAATGATTTAGAATTTTTCTGTGGAAGGGTACTTACTTAGGGCAGCAAAATCAAATACCTGTCAGAGAAAGTCACCCACAGACTTAAGCTATATTCCAAATATTAAAACATTGAAATAGAATCAAACATTTAGATCCCTTGAAATAAAAAACTTTGGAAGCACACAACTTTCAAATTGTTGGCATAAGTGTTTCTTAGCCAAAAACATCATAATTAAGCTTGCGAATGAAGAAGATAGAAGATGCTAATTTCACAACATGATGGAATGACATAAATCCTTTTTCCTCTAATTGACCACCACTTTAAGGTAAGAAAATAATTCCTTTAGAAAATGAAAGCAATAAGAATAAAGATAAAAAAATATGATGGAGCAGAGAAAAAGGTTCATATTTATCATTTATGAGGGTGATGGGCCATCCATTCGAAGATCCCAAGACTAGAAAGAAATCTATAACAATTTACAATTTTTAAAATAATACTTTGATTTTTATTGTTTTTATTTTAGGTTGAGAATCAATTGGGCGTGTGAATCACAGAAGGTTACCACTTTTCCAAAGATAGGTTTCGGGAAATTATACCGTTACTTATAATTTTATAACATTATAAAAAGATGAGACGTATGATAAATTTCAAATTTCATATTCGTAATTATCTATTTGTAATATTAATTTCGTTTTGAGGAGAAAAAGGAAAACATTGATTGTGTACTTTATACTATAATTTTTTTTTGCTGATTTGGGTGTTGAGACAAAACAAAAGGAAGAACAAGAAAGAGGCACGAACAGAGAGCACAACACAAGTTGGTTGAACCTTACACGTCAGCATACTGAAAACGTTGCGTGTTGGTTGAGAGATGGGGAATTCATTCGGGTGTTCGGCCTCCGGCGAGAGGCTGGTGTCGGCGGCGAGGGACGGGGACTTAGTGGAGGCGAAGATGCTTCTGAACTGCAACCCCTGTCTCGCCAAGTATTCAACCTTCGGTGGCCTCAATTCTCCACTCCATTTTGCAGCCGCCAAAGGCCATAACGAGGTCCCTTTATTTCACCATGCCACATATCTAATCTAATGTAACCCCTTTAATTTCATTTATTTATTAAATTGTGCTTTCTTTTTATTTATTTGTTTATTATTCTCTGTTGGGTTTCCGTTAGATTGTGGCATTGTTGCTGGAGAATGGAGCTGATGTTAATTCCAGAAATTATTGTGGCCAGGTGAGCTTTTCTTATTTTATGACTATTGGTTTTGATTTGCAAACAAAAAATAAAAAAAGGCATCATGTGAATATAGATTGGTGAGATGGTTATAATTAGTTTAGTGTTGAATTTTTAATATTGGTGTATTCCATTTTTTCCAATTCGGTTAGTAGTCTGTTCCGTGAGGCCAGTTGCTGTATGTAAGGAAGCATAGATAGAGTGAGCATTGTAATAAACTATTAGATCGATGGATCTGGTCTCAATTAGAAGAATGATAACATTAAGCTTTTTATCATAATTGCTTTGGATATTTTCACCCTCCCCCTACATGTGTGCACAGCTTTACTAATTTGACAGTATGGTTGACATTGGTTCTTGATTTGAAGACGGCCTTGATGCAAGCTTGTAGATATGGGCACTGGGAAGTTGTACAGACACTTCTACTCTTCAGATGCAATGTGAGTCCTATTTTATTTTATTCTTCCTCTCTTGACTTTTTCTAGGTTTCACCATAAGTTTGTATTTACTATGGCACTGAGATAGCTGGGCATTGGTTTGATTTGAGAAACTACCTGCTAAGTAGGGACATGATTGCTTTGCTTGTGTGTATTTTCTTCTTTTTACATGGTCAAAGTTGATTTTAAAATCACTGGGTTGTTGTTGTCTATAAATAACAGGTTATGAGGGCTGATTACCTTAGTGGGAGGACAGCTCTTCACTTTGCAGCTGTACATGGGCATGTAAGATGTATCAGACTTGTTGTGGCTGACTTTGTACCAAGTGCACCATATCAAGCTATACATGCTTGCACAAATGTTGACAAGGGTGGTGGATCAAATGTGAAAGGCAAACATGAGCATAGGTACCGTTTCCTATTCATTATTATTTATTTTCCAAGCCAAGACTTTTGTATGTTATAATTTTCATTTGGCTAATAGGGTTGGTTTAATGACTGGTATGCTTTGACAGCATGTAGTATGCTTTTATATTTTCTTTATATGTTTCATTTACTAGTCACTTTAATTTTTCTCAAATGTCTGCATATGCAAGTACACGAATAAACACATCCTAGACAAAAACTTTAGTTGCAAAAATTATGAATAATTTTATTTGGGGAATGATGACAGTGAGATTTTGTTTGGTGTTTTGCTGTTATGAATGATTTAAGGCCTGACTTTACTAGAGTTTTCTTTTAGGTTTGTTATATTCTTGCAATTTATTTACTTTATTCCAGTGCAGTGCCCTGTCGAAGTTTGTAAATAAAACTGCTGATGGTGGTGTCACTGCCCTTCACATGGCCGCGTTAAATGGGTACTTTGACTGTGTACAACTTCTGCTTGATCTTAACGCAAATGTGTCTGCTGTGACATTTCATTATGGAACATCAATGGATTTAATAGGTATGTCTTTTATTCAATGTGCTAAATATCTCTTAGTTTTTTCCCCCCTTCAACATAACTATAGTATGATTTTATCTAGGGGCTGGAAGCACTCCATTGCATTATGCTGCTTGTGGAGGGAATTTAAAATGCTGTCAGGCAAGAATTGATTTAGTTTCGATTGTCATATGCCTTATGGTCCTTTCTTTTGAAATTGGAAATAATGTTATTCTTTTCAGATCCTTGTTGCTCGAGGTGCAAGTCGGATGGCTTTAAATTGCAATGGGTAAGATATTGTAAATATTTATTCTAGTGCAAACTTTCACTTGCTTGATATCATATTGATACAAATTTGAACACTTTCCCCCTAGGTGGCTTCCTCTTGATATTGCTAGGATGTGGGGGCGTCATTGGCTTGAACAATTACTGGCACCCAGTTCTGATACCACAGTACCTACATTCTCTCATTCAAATTATTTGTCCTTGCCCCTTATGAGTGTGCTCAACATAGCTAGGTATTTTGCAATCCTCTGTTTCTGTTTGTACAAGTCAACTCAACTGTTTTTCATGTGGAAACATATATAGGTAATGAATATTACAGACAACTACGGAAAGACTTGTCTATGTTTTTGGCAGATTATTTGGGACCACAATTAGCCCATTGAAAAAAAAAAGTAAAGTAATTTAGGTAAGGCATGCAAGTAGGCTTGTATAACTTCGATCATCCCTCATTTAGATAAGAAAAAGAGAAGTTGTGACCCATCAGTATGGAACCTTAATTTACACATAATGAAAAAATGAATTATATATAACAAGACTACCTTCGTTAGACTTTGGTTCACTTTGTAGATTAAATAAGGGGAAACCATGCCTTTTGAGTTTTCACGACTATTTCAAATAATGAATAGGCATCTATATTTGCTCTTTGATTGGTTTTTGTCCCATGTAAAAGCTCAACTCTGTGTTAATACCCTAGAAATGATAAACGAGTGAAGACAGGTGTAATTAACGTTGATGGGAAAGGATTTAGATTCTAAAAATTGCATGGAGAAAAGAATTTTGTAGATTTTTCTGTGGTTAACGTAGTTAATTCTATTGAAATTGAAGAGTCGATGGAAGTACTTGGAAATGAAAGAATGCTTGAATGTCTATATAATGTAAATGATAAAGGAATTGGGTTAAATAATCCAAGGAAAACATAATAGTTCATTCAGATGAATTGTGAACTCTGTAAAATGCTAGTTGGCATTTGGCGCACCTTCTGTGTCGAATGATAATATAAAAATATGGAAGTAGAATAAAAATTTGAAATGTCTATTGACATGAACTAATATTTTGAAAGTAAATTACTCTCTTTTATCTTGCATTTTATGTTTACTACACAATTATTTATGAAATCTGCTGCAACGAAATCTAAATTGTTGTCTGACCTAGCCGGACAGATTTGTTAATTTATGTTAGCTCAGGGATATTTTGTAGTTAAATATTAACAATATGGGAAGACTCATTCCTATGTTGAAAAATGGTGCTAAGATTGATTTGAAATAACTGCAGAGAGTATGGATTACAATCATCTACCACCTCCTCTGATGAGATTGAATTTTGTGCTGTATGTCTGGAGAGACCATGTTCAGTGGCTGCAGAAGGTACTATATTATTTATCTTTTGAATGTATGTTTTGTAAATATCTAATCAACTGCATCAGTTAAAAGTGGACCTGAAGCAGTGATTATGCAAAGAAGTAAGGATAACTTTTCAGAACCCAAAAAATACAGTAAAAAAAGTATCATTCAGAGTGTATATGCTACCATACCTGTGTATAGTGGGTTCTCATCCTCTGACACCATATTTTCTTCCCTTTTCCTTGACAAATTTTCAAGATTCTGGTATTCAGTTTTGAACAGCAAGTGATATCCTTAGATTATACTTGCAGGATGTGGGCATGAACTTTGTGTAAGATGTGCACTCTATCTTTGCTCAACAAACAATGTTTCTTCTGAAATGCTTGGCCCTCCGGGCTCTATCCCTTGCCCTCTCTGTAGACATGGAGTTGTCTCTTTTGTCAAGTTACCTGGTTCCCAAGCAAAAGAAAATAAGTTACATGTGTCTCTGGGCCTGTGTACCCCTTGCATGCTACATCCACGTGACCTAGATCAGCCATCCCTCTCTCATACACCTGAGATTGGAAGAAATCGTGTAGCTTCTGTTCCTGCAGAAATACTCTGCCCCGTCACTTGTAGTCCTTTCCCATCTATGGCGATTCCCCTATGTACCTGCAATGATGGTCCATGTCCATCATTTGAACCCAGAGAAGTAGAAACACGAGATGAATCACCTCATCACTCTCAAGCATCAACAATGGATCAGGATAAAATTGAAGGGCCAAGACTGGATAAAACAACCTGCTCTAGCATGTTTTGGGGTAGAAGAAGTTGCAGCAGGGAGCACCAATGCAATTCAGAGATAAATGCTTGACTCGTATGGCTTGTATGACCCATTTCTGTGTTGTGGATACATGGTGTGTTACACTTAGATCAACACAGCAATCCACATTTGCCTTGTTAACTAGCCTCAAATTGTGGAACTCGGGATATCTCTCCATAAGAGAAAAACTGCTCTCTAGATCTGCTTGGCTGCATAGGCTCTATGCTAAGGTTGATAAATACAATTCTGTTGTTTCAGCGACACAACCACCCTCTGGATATGTTCTTTTCTGATATTTAGAGAGCGTGTGTGTAATTAGTTTCGGTTTCTTGAGATTGTTATTGAGATTTTTGTAATTGTATTTCATTTTATCAAAGAAAGTGTCCTTTAAGGGGAAAGGAAAGGAATACAGTATGCTTTTTATGGTGTATCACGTTAGGAGCATCTGTATATTATGTCTCTGATGAATTTTATTATTTCACAGAGCCCGAATTTGAGGACTGAAACTTGATGATTCAGTTATGCACACCTATTTTTTGGACTTGATGGTAACTCTCATATTCCCCTGCTGAAATAGCACTTAAAAGTAGTACTTTAGCTTTGCACTTCTTGCCATATTGGTTTCTGTAAAGGGCATTTTAGGAGGATTATTGATAGAGTCGATAACAACGTCAACTAATTGTAACAGCCCGGTGCAAGTCTTTCATCAGAGTGTCTCTATGATGACTTAAGTTAAATTAAATTAATTTAGGCTGCCAAGTCTGTTGTTAACCATTGAACCAACCCTCAAGTATGATTAATATTTATTGTTACTTCAATTATGAAATGAGATTAGATTAACTAGATCCAATTAGGTTTAAGTTCAATATCATCATGTCTGTAAGAGCATCTTCTAATCATTGGAAGCATTCAAAATGAACATTAAACACGTAACCTCAGTTCAAACAACAATCCTTTACATTAGGTGGAAGTTTATCTCTTCATAGCCATCACCATAGAGTGAATATTGAATCCAAATTAAAACTAAAAATGATCTCAGTTACAACATTTCACTTTAATTCTCCCATTAATAACGGTAATTATTTTTCTGATATATCATCTTTCCTCAGCTGAATTGCTGGTATGTGAAATTAGTTTCCTAAGGACATCCCATTTTATTTCATTGGAGATTAATTTGTGTAAGTTATGCCCAAAATACCAAGGTCCATATCATGTATAGTGCCTAACAATTTTAGTCCAATATCCAAATTGGCTAAATCTATATTTCTCAAAGACTATTGATCTCTCTGTTGGTTTTTCTATTATGCAAATAACATCAAACTTACATATTTGCCGTCAAAGTTATGGTCAACATTTTGATGTTAAAATTCAACAAATGTTGTAAAAGTGCTTTAAAGCTTAATTTAGTCCAATAACTCAAATGAACGTTGGGACTAATAAATTAAGATAAAAAAAAACTGCTGAGTAATTTGCCTAATTTTTAGTTTGAATCGATATTTTTAGCTTTATAATTGAAAAAGAAAATATCATAAATATTGCTTAGATTCTACATTTGAATAGAAATAAGAAAATTAAGGAAAAAAAATCTTATATCTTAATATTTTAAGAGTTTTGGTAAAAATGATATAATAATTTCTTTATAATTAGCTTGTAACTTCATTCAATCTCCCTTTCAATATTAAGGTTCAGGATTTATACTATTCATTACATGATCTTCATTCCTCATCTAGAGGCTATCTTTTCATTTTCACTATATTTCACCTCTTTTTATTTTAAAATATGACAAATGCTGTTGGTTGTGTAAAGAGGTAGAAATAACTCATACTTCATATCCTTCGAAAATTTAAATTTTTATTCATCTTTACATTTTATTGTTTTATATTTTATTACAATACAATTATAACATGACACATAATAAATAATATATTCAATTTCTTATTTCTATATAATAAATAAAGATAATTAAAACAAAAATTATTATTATTAAATTTTAATTCGTTTAAAATAAGATTTAAAAAAATATATAGGAGTCAATTTCCTTAAAATATTGATACCCAACACCTGAGAAACATAGAAATATTATTTTCGTCCTCAGGTTTTTGAAAAAAAAAAAAAAAAAAACTTGAAACCCATTTCACTTTCTCACATCTCTTTTAAAAAATGTTAAAAAATACACTTTATTTTTAGGATGTAGGAGTGGAAGGACGAGATAAAAAAATGATAAATATGACAAATGAAAATATGATACATGAATAGAGATGAAAATAATAATAAAAATTGAATCTGTAAATATAGTAACTCATTCTTTAACGAGGGTGGGAACTTATTTTTTTATTTAAAATAAACTAGTTTTTGGGATTATATAAATGCATTTGGGTAATTTATTTTGTTATACTTAAAAATATGTTTTAGACATTAGTTTTTAAAATATATAATTTTTAAAAAGAATTTTTTTATGAATGATATAAAAAAAGTGCAATTTAATATGTTGATGCCATACATTTCTATAATTTGAATAACTTAAATATAAATTTGGAAAAAGGGGTTCACTCTTTCAATCAGACTGTTCTGAGAATCAACATATTTGTTTTTTTTTCTCATTTGAAAGGGTCCATCTCTTGTAATTGTTATCAAAGCTTTAAATTAAATCTTAATAAAAATGATTGATAATTAAAAACAACATTATACAATCATAAATTTGTAGACCAAAATACAAATTGAATTTAAAAAGCCTTTATCCATATGATGAGACTTATGGGCACCTAATTTTGTTGTTTCTTAGAGCAAGTGTTGTAGTACATATTAGAAGCTTTGAACATGATTGCTAAGTAACCATGCTTCCTATTAAAGAATTGAGTCTAGTAATTGTTAGGCAATCATTGACACTTCACTCACATCACATGTTTGAATGAGCAATCAATTTTTTGTTTGAGGAATTTGTTCCTGGTCAAATCACTGACAAACAAACTTTTGCTTTTTTACTTTCACTATCTCTCTACATTCTAGGCCCAACACAAACATCAAACACATGCTACTTATGCTTCATTTCTACAATTAAGAAAAACACAAACTTAAGGTGTAAACAAACATAGGATAATGAATGAAGGAGATTGTAGAGGAGATTTGAACTATATTGTTGTGTATTTGAAAATTTCAATTTTGGTTGTAAAGGAACACAAGTTTGAAAGCAACAAGAAATTGTATAATAAGGTTGATTTTTGGTGGTGAGTAAAATGAAGGATAATAATGAGGTTGGTTCAGTGGTGAGTAAAAATGATGAAATGATGATTGTATTTATAGTATTGTAGGTTGATATGATTAATGAGAAAGATAGGGAAAATAATGAAATGGTAGGAGCGGTGCATATAGTAATAGTAGAGTTACAGTTAACAAGTTGATGATGAAAGAAAAAGTAGAAGAAATGATAAGCGCGGTGCCATTAAATTTCCGACACCAGTGCGGCGTAGCTTCTACTTAGGGTGGCGGTAAAAGTGTTATGCTCCAAATTCCTGTTGTTATCTTTTTAATTAAAAGAAATTGAGTGGATAATCTAATTTCCTATCTTTGGTTTCGAAGGAGAGAAAAAAAATTAAAAATAGAAAATTTATTATATTATTTTTAATCTTAGTCATATTTGTTTCTCTCTTATGTTTTTTAAACATATTTTTAATAAAATATCTCTATTTTTTTTCTCTTTTTATTTAAATATTTTATACATGGATAAGATAACGTATTAGTTTGTTAATATTCTTTAATATAATTATATATATTTAATTATATGAATAATTTAAAAAAAATTATTAATTAATATTTTTATCAAATAAATTAAAAAGTTATTATATTTATATGTTAAAATAAATTATTATAATTAATAATTAAAATTTAATTGGTTAATATTTATGATTTAAAGTGTAATATTATAATATATAACAAAATAAATATAATATTTTTAATTATAATTTATTTTAATTTTAATATATAAATATTTTTTTAAAATAGGTCAATATGACCCTCTACTTATATTGAGGAATTAAAATAAAATAATAAAATAAAACTAGTAACTTGTTTCGTTATTTTTAAGATGAATTATCGTATTGATAGTCAAAATTAACCTATTTTACCATGAATAATAAGTGAATTTTAATTATCAAGTCTCCACATATTTATCATTTATATATATTAACATTTTAAAAATAAATTTATTATATTCATTAATGTTTTTTCTATGATAATGAAGAGATATGAGGCCCCCACTTATCCAGTGTTGGTTGAAAGTGTGAGGTAGGAAACAAGGCGAAGATGGAATGGGAGAATGAAAGATTTTCAACAACGATTTAATAAACGAGAGAATGTGAAGAAGGAAACACATTTTATTATGATAACTAAAACAAATTAAGTAAATTTGATTATGTTAAAGAAATTAAAAGGGTGCTCCCTGCTCACAAGTTTGTAATGTTAGCTAGCGATTGATTCATGATCCGAATGTACGCAAAAGGTGTCAGAAAAATGGCAGTGTCTATTGATTTTGGATTCCAGAAAATAGTTGGAATTGATTTCGGATTATAAGTGCTAGTTTTGGGTACAAAAACGATAAAGATTCCAATTCAACTTCTAAGGGCCCCAACACATAACTGCGCAGTGCGACTACTGCATGATCTTATTTACAACCACGTACTTTGATCCCCATTTTCAGTACAGTACTGCTTCAACCAATTTCTCATCCTTCCCACTTCAGTGCTCACTACCTAACTATGTTACACTGTTATATCAATGGTGACTTGTGAAGAGTGAAGAGTGAAGTGTGAAGAATGAAGACCCTTCACTTCAGGACAAAAACAAGCCTAAAGCAAAATTGCATGTTCATAAAAAGTGACAGTGATATTCAAAACCCGTGCCTCGAGGAGTTCATACTTTGGGTACATAACATGCCCATCAATCAACTGTGAACAAAAGAAAAAAATAGAATAAGCATCTGGCTTTCTTTCTCACTCTCTTGCCAATAATGCAGATAGAGAAGCAGTCAAAATCAGACACTTAATATGGCCTCGCTT